GGGATGGGGCCAGGGGCCCAGCAGGGGCCATAGCCATGGCACAGACCTTGGCTGCGGAGCACCCCACAGCCGGGGGGCAGGTGGGCGCCATGGCTCAGCTGGTTAAAGCGCCTGTCTAGTAAACAGGAGATCCTGGGTTCGACTCCCAGTGGTGCCTGTGCCTTAGGGCTGTTTTTCCTCCCTGCCCCAAGCTGGGGGCACTGCTGGGGTCTCTACCTCAACTAAGGGTCACCAGTAGCCCCACTTCTTTCTGCCCCATCAGGTTTTCCACTAGTTCCCACAGTGCCCTGTTCTTTTGCCCTTCGAAGAGGGTCCAGTGGTGACTTCTCAGTTACCCTCTTCAGTGGGGGATGCATCCCCATGTCCTGGCAGGGCCAACAACTGCTCTCTACTTGTCTGCCCCAGTTTTCCCCCTCCCATTGATGAAACTGTCCTGGCACAGTCTGGGTGCATGCTTTTACTGAAAGTTCATTTCATGGTAGGACAGGGACAGTCCTGGAGATGCTGGGGAATATCTGGAAGTCAAGGTGAGGGCAAAAAAAGGACTTGGGAGCACCTCTGGGGAGCAGAGCAGGTACTGGGGGGCTGGCAGCAGCACTTGTTCAACGATGGAGCCCAAGGGGGTGAGAGGAAGGTGCCCCCTGAGTGTAGCAGGGCTAAGGCATCTCCTGGTGGATGTGGGGTCCTGGGACACGAGACTCCAGGCACCAGCTCTGATGAGGGGCTGCATCATGGGATTGTGTGAACTGCAACAGGTTTTCAGCACTCATTATGGGCAGCAGAGGAGACACAGATCATTCAGGGCCATGTTGTCCCTCTTCAGCCCCTGTGCAGGATCCTGCTGCATCTGAATGCCACACACTGCCCTGGGACAGTGAGGGCTCCAGCTGCCCCACTGGCTCCAGGTGGACCCTGGCCCCTCCAGGATGTGCCCACTGGTGGCGGCCACTTCATCGCTTAGGAGCCTGTGCTGGGGCACCTGGACCCGCAGTGTTCACACAGGTACCCTTAGTGGGGGCACCAGTGAGCCTCTGACTGGTGGCCCCAACTAGATGGGGGAGAGACACTGTTGGTGCAGAGGCCAGGGGGTGCAGGAGGAGGAGGCAGCCACAAAGGAGGCTCTCCAGCCATGGAGAGGGGACGGGGACTGATGGAGGCTCACCTGCCACTCTGGGGCTCAGCTGTGAAGCCAACACCAGGGTCCCTGCCATGGGAGCAGTGCAGCTGAATCCTGTTGAGCGCCATGTCTGTCCTCCATCACGCCCTGGGGCGACTCTACCTGCGAGGGGATGGAGGTGGGGGGTTAACTGCCCACAGGAGCAGGAACCCCAGACCAGCCGTGGGCATCATCATAGCAGCTGCACCTTGAAGATAACACCACTGGCATAGGAGTCCTTGGGACACTATGGACCTAGTGATGACTGAGGCATCCCTCCCACCCAGGTCCCACTCCTACCCCTGCCCCGTGGCACCAGCAAGCCCCGTGGGTAGCAGCAGGATCTGTCCCCCCAGCATGGCTGCCCTGCCTGCAGCCGGCCCGCCAGGCTTCTTATGCCTAGCAGGGCTGGCAGAAGGGACGTGACAGCATCTCAGTTACCTTCCCAGGGTGCCCAGACCTGTCAGACAGCCAGGATTAGCTGCAGCCTCTACAGAGAGCGCCCACACCCTCCTGCCATTTAGCACTAAACAAACCCATGAGGAAACAGTGCACCACACTGTGGAGCAGGCTGCACACCCACCTTTTGCCTAGGAACGACACAGCTCATTGACACTCACTACAAATTTATTAGGTACAAAAAGCATTTACAGCAGGTGACCTGAAACCCATCCTAAACTTGGAAAAGGATAATCTTGGGTGGAGGGTGCACACAGAGTGAAGTTTCTGTTGCGTTTTTTAGTTCATTTTGTTAGCTGATTAGCATACTAGACAAGGAGAAGCAGATTTTCCACAAACTCATTTCCATGAGAGATGAGGGAAAAGGTGAAACAGGGGTTCCAGTTGAGTCAATGGTCCTTGCCCAACTTTGGTTCTTCCTCTGTTCCCAGAGATTTTATCAGTCTTCCCAGAAATGATCCCCTCTTACCAGTTCTTGTTACCACTTCAATGGCAAAGGCACCACAAAGTATTGTGCACAGTCACACTTGTGCTTGAGGGGAAATACCTGGTTTAGTCCATGTCTGCCCCTCCAAGGCTTATCTAAGGAGTATGTCAATACAACTGCAAGGGAGTGGGGGGTGCATCCTTCAATCCACTCCCACTTCCTTGGGTGATATTCCTTAGACTTATCCAAAGGCTGCAGCTTGTCCTTGAGATTTTCTGTGTCGATAAATGTTTGAGACATTCTTTCAGTTCCTTACACATGGCAGACCAAGCACTTGATACTAGATGTCCCCCAGGGCTCAGACACTGCTGGGAGTCGAGTCCAGGGTCCCCGTGTGGAGCAGGAGTTTGACCCAACCCCAGTGATGTAGTGAAAACTCAATAACCAGAGTTATTAAGCAGCTGGCACTGTGTGTGTGTGTGTGCGCATTAAGAGGAGAGGTTCCCCCCCCCCCCAGATACATATAGATACATATGCGTATGTTAGATACGTATGTATCTATGGTTAGATACCTATACGTATGCAGATACATATAGATACATATGTTCAGTTTTCCAAGAAAAGGACAGAGTGTTCAAATGATTTCCTAGAAATCGTTACATAGTTCTTGCCCCAACCACAGATGCTCTTTAAAATGTGGTGATGGTCATTGGGTGTTCTCTGGTGGTCATTTGATGAAGGCTTGAAAACTTCCTCGCTGGTAACTTCCGACCTTTTGCCAGTTTGTGCTGAGCTGTGTGCTTCAGGTGGTCAGAACCACTCTCTGTACAATCCCATTATCTCTAGGCACGGCTCTATCTTCCTTCTCTGCAGGGATGTCCTGTTTTTATCACAGAAACACAGAATTGTTTAGGTTGGAAAAGCCCTTGAAGCTCCTCCAGTCCAACCATGAACCTCACACTGACTGTTCCCAACTCCACCAGATCCCTCAGCGCTGGCTCAACCCGACTCTTCAACCCCTCCAGGGATGGGGACTCCCCCCCTGCCCTGGGCAGCCCATTCCAACGCCCAACAACCCCTTCTGGGAAGAAATGCTTCCTAAGAGCCAGTCTGACCCTGCCCTGGTGCAGCTTGAGGTCATTCCCTCTTGTCCTGGCACTTGTTCCTTGGTTCAAGAGACTCATCCCCTCTCTCTGCACCCTCCTTTCAGGGAGCTGTAGAGGGCGATGAGGTCTCCCCTCAGCCTCCTCTTCTCCAGACTAAACACCCCCAGTTCCCTCAGCCGCTCCCATCAGACCTGTGCTCCAGACCCTGCACCAGCTCCATTGCCCTTCTCTGGACACGCTCGAGTCATTCAATGGCCTTTTGGGAGTGAGGGGCCCCAAACTGAACACAGGAATCGAGGGGCGGCCTCACCAGTGCCGAGTACAGGGGTGAGATCCCTTCCCTGTCCCTGCTGGACACGCTATTGCTGACACAAGCCAGGATGCCATTGGCCTTCTTGGCCACACTGCTGGCTCCTGTTCAGCCAGCTGTCAATCAACCCCCCCAGGTCCCTCTCTGACTGGCAGCTCTCCAGCCACTCCTCCCCAAGCCTGTAGCACTGCTGGGGGTTGTTGTGGCCCAAGGGCAGCCCCCGGCATTTGGCCTTATGGAAACTCCTCCAGTTGGCCTCAGCCCATTGCTCCAGCCTGTGCAGCTGCCTCTGCGGCTGGGTGGGCCAAAGGGCTGGGAGTCTGAGAAGCACCGCTCAGTTCCGAATGTCCCCCCGCGCGTGGGCCGCAGGCCAGGCCATGCCGAGCTGCCGCCAGCCCCGTCCCGCCGCAGCAAAAAGACCCCGACGAAGGTGGGATTCGAACCCACGCGTGCAGAGCACAATGGATTAGCAGTCCATCGCCTT